TCTGTGCTGGGGGAAGCCACTGCAAAGCGCCATGAAACTGGCCAACAGGGCCATCGAGCTAGACACCGGCAACCGACCCCGGGTGAGGCTGGGAGGGGCGCGGCAGCAGCTCCGGGAGGAGGCACCTGGTCCGTGGTGGGCAAGGGCGGGCGTGTGAGGGGATCCGCGCTTCGGACGCGCGCGACAGCTGTGGGACCCCGCCCGGGGACTCTCGGCCGGACGGGCGGCTGTGGGTGCTCTGCGGGGAACTCGGACAGCTCAACTAGCACTTGGTCTCAGGTTTATCTGTTCAATGAGTCGGTGAAATAGAGCTGCGGTTCTCTTTGCAAAGGACCTGTGAAGCAGCCCTCCAGGATGTAGATGACAGACGTGTGTGTGTGCTAGTGTGTGTGCGTTCTTGACACTGTATAGACTTAATCCAGAAAACACTGACTGTTGGCTCCTTATGCTGCTGTTTGCAGTCGCCTTCAAAGGTCATCTGTAAAGAAACGCAGGCACAGAAGGGGTGTGGCCTGTCACTGAGGATGAATGCTAATTAAAAGGATGTCAACTAGGTGGAAGAGCTAGCTGAGCTACCCTTTGAGAGGAAGAATCAGTGTCTGTCCAGTTCCCCAAGTTGGTTTTCTAGGGCATCAGGTGCTCCCCACAGGACCAAAATCCTACCTGAAACCCATTTAACCCTAATCTGTGAAGTGTTGAGTTAATTGAAGGTGGGTAATTTGACAATGAATAAAACAAAACACATACATTCCAGAGTGCATTCTATCCTGAGCTGTCACAGAGCTAAGGGCAGAGGGGTCACCCAGTTGAAACCTGCAACTCTGGAGTCTGGAGAGTGTTGTTTCTCACAACATAAGCCACGATGTGAGATTGAGAGATGAGCGTTTATTCTCTCTAAGACTTCCAGGAAATATTTTTCATAAGACATGGAAAAACTACTGATCTTTGAGTTGCACAGGAAGGGGACTCTGTTATACAGAGTGGGAAATGGTGTCACTGCTGAGGATGCTTTACCAAGCCTCATGACTTAAGCTCCAATGTGTCTAGCTGGGAACTCCCTAATGCAAAAGTTGTAGGCAGAAATTCCCTGATTTTGTTCTCAGATGCAAACATTTTTTTCCTTCAAGTCTAGACAGTGGGGATACTGCCCCTGTCCTAGGTGGACCATCACTGAAGTCTAGAAGTCTCTTAAAAATGAGTAGACAGTGTTGATCCACTCAGCAGGCATGATGTAGGTAAGCTCTTCCATCCACTAGCCTGACCACTGCCATTCACTTCCCTGCATACAGGAAGCATACATGGAATACCTTCGGAGCATCCACTACATCTCCCAGGTGTTACTGGAAGATGTGGAAAACACTACAGGTATGCTTTCAAACTTGCTCTTCTCTTATGATGGTGAAACTGTGGATATCTTAGCCCTAGGTGGTCCCCAAAGCTGGAGGTCTGCTGCTTTCCAGCATGGTCATTATCATTAGCATAGGATGTCATAATGTAACATGGTGGCATTGAAGGGCAGTATGAATGGGTTAGGGGATTAGATCATGGATTGGGTCAAGACACTGCCTCTCGGCAGTGAAGAGTGAGCTCCACAAAAGTGGGGGCATTGCCAACAGAAGTATATTTAAAATCTGAGAGAAGGAAGTAGTTACAGCAGTGCTTTGTACATCTTGGGTGGAATTGAGAGGGAGTTTTGGGAACCTCCCAAAGCTCTACCCAACATTGGGAGGATCAAAGACCTCAGATGTATCATGAAGCAGAAACCAACCAGACCTGCTAGGTTGATGGTGAGTTGCATCAGGGGGTGTTCCAAGCAGATGATAGACAGCTTTAGTGTAAGGGGAGAAATAGTGAATTCCTCTGTGGGGCTAGGGATGTAGTTCAGTTGGTAGAGAGTGCTTTCCTAGCACTCATAAAGTCCTGGATTTGGTCCCTGGCACTGAATAAAGTAATGTATCACAAGTCTGAAATCCCAGCACTTAGGAGAATTAAAAGTTCAAGGTCACCCTCGGTTTCATGGTAAGTTTGAGGCCCGCCTGGGCTACATGAGACCCTGTCTCGAATTTTAAAAGATTAGAGGATTATGCTGTAGACATATAAAGTCTGAGACACAAGCAACTCTCTGGACATAGGAGCACAATTAAGGAGAGCTAGTGGGGAGTAGGTGAGCTCCTGACACTTCAAAGACGGAGGCATCAGTAATAGTAGGAGGTAACCTTAAGGGAAGTAATAGCCCAGAGCACAGAAAAAAAAATGAGTGACTTGCCATCTTTGGCAAAGTAAGGGCTGGGTAAGGACAAATATAGGGGAATTTGAATGCTAAAATGGAGGTGGAATGAAGAGAGGATGGAGTTTATGAGGAATTTGTTGTAAGGGGGAACAGGAGAGTGGGTCCAGGAGCTGGGTAAACTTGGCAAAGTACCAAAAAAAGATGAGTCTACTGATATAAGCAGGCCCATGGAGGGAAAAGAACAGCACAGATACCTGGGTGGTATGGGTGGAAGTGCTCACAGCAACACCTGCAGGGGAACAAATCTGTGGTACAGGCAGCTAGTAGGTGGTCTGTAGAGGAGAGTCTGTAGCACCCATGTCTCGGTGCAGTAGCCATGAGGGCTCCATGGCCATCCCCAGAAGGCAAGCAAGAGTCAGTCTGATGCTTGGCTGCCAATCATGGGTATACACTGTCTTGAGCCATGGTGAGATGAATAGGGTGAGCTTGCCTAACTTAAAGTTCCTTGTTCTTAGTAAGAATATGAGTCATGGTAGAAGCACTGTAACCATCCCCCATGTTCCTTCCCTAGAAGCTGGGGAAACTGTGCCTCCTGAGACCTCAAAGATGCTGAAGCTAGCTGAACAGTGTCTGGAACGGGCCCAGTCAACAGCTACCAAACTTGGTGGGTATCCAAAGAAGGGGGATCTTGGTACCTGCTTTGTGGGATGATCCCTAGCCTGCTGACCAGTGTGTTATACATGGCTTGCAGGGAAAATATGCCTGAAGCCAGCTGTACCTGTGGCTCCTCCCATCCCATTGCCTACCACCCGACACCGCCGCGTGTGTTCAGACGAAGGAGGGAAACTCTCCCCTTTCCTGCCTCCTGAGATCTTCCAGAAGCTGCAGGTGGCAGAACCACAAAACTCTAAGAAGTAAGATGGACAAGATGAAGGATGTACTAAAGCCGTGGATGTTGGAGGCTGAGCAAAGGGAGCTTCCCTAGGGGTAGCTAGTTAAAGTGGTTCACAAACTCCATTAGGAAGAAAGTACCTTCATCCTTCAAAAAGCTACTGGCAAACAAAGACAGCCATATAGAAACAGAAATGGGGCTGGAGAGATGGCTCAGCAGTTAAGAACACTGGCTGCTCTCCCAGAGGACCTGATTTCAATTCCCAGCAACCACATGGTGGCTCACAACCATCTATGATGAGACCTGGTGCCCTTTTCTGGCCTGCAGGGACACATGCAGGCAGAATGCTGTACACATAGTAAATAAATAAATCAAAAGAAAGAAAAGAAGGAAGGAAAGAAACAGAAATGATGAGGTAGTGGTTACAGAACAGTTCTATGAAGATTTCAGGTAGTTATCAGCACAGGTCAAACAACACTGAGCTTTGTTTAGAAATACAAAACCAAGTTTGAAAACACCAGAACAAGAAACTCTAAAGTCAGAGCCAGAAAATATAAAATGAAGTAGAAATGAAATCAAAATACAATGCTGAAATTTGTTTTTTAAAACTAGTTAGGGTCTTGGCAATGGTGGTGCCATTGGCACTTGGGAGGCATACTCAGATGGATTTTTATGTGTTTGAGGACAGCCTGATCTACAGAGTGAGTTCCAGGATAATCAAGGCTATGCAGAAAAACCCTGCTTCAAAAAAAAAAAAAAAAAAAGCTAAAGAAGCCGGGTGTTGGTGGCACACACCTTTAATCCCAGCACTCGGGAGGCAGAGGCAGGCAGATCTCTGTGAGTTCAAGGACAGACTGGTCTACAGAGCGAGTGGCCAGGATAAGCTCCAAAGCTACACAGAGGAAACCCTGTCTTGAAAAACCAAACAAACAAACAAACCTAGTTAGGGGATCTGACATCCTCTTCTGGCCGCCTTGAGTACCAGGCACACACATGGTACACAGATATACATGCAGGCAAAAGACCCATGCACATAAAAACAAAATAGTAAAAATAAATAAATAAAAACTAGATAGATGAGAATGTAGCTTAATGGTAGAGTGCTTCCCTAGCATGCATGAAGGCCTGGATTTGATTACTGCCTATAATCCCAGTACTCAGGAGGATACCAAGACACAGATGCAGGAAACTCAGTGAACCCAACATGGATGAATCAAGCCCCTCTTACTACATGCAGCTTCAGCACTAGGGCAGATACAAACATCAACTTCAGGATGGAGTCTTGGAGTCCTTCTTCCTTAGTTTTCTCCATATCCTTTGTCTGCTAACTCTAAAAGCAGGGAGGTTTGTGTTATGCTGCATTTTTTTTTTTTTACTGACATACCTCTCCGTTTGGTAGTTTACAAATGAATCTTGCTGTTTGGAGCCCTGTAGTAACTTCCAGGAGTTCTGTTCCCACCACAGATACAACTAATTTTCATAAAAATCCAGCTGTCCTGCTTCTCTTGAGAAGCCCCGAGTTGTAGCATTGCCAACACCCATGTTTTGGCCGCAGATCTAGCTTGCCCTGGATCACGCTCTGCATTTCTTCCGGCGTCGTCACCATCTTCTTTTGTCTTGGTCTGAGAACGAGATCAAGAGGGGCGTAAGGGTGGTTGCTCAGGTCACTAGGATGTTCCAGGACTTCCTGTGCATAGACAGCAGCCTGTCACTATTTTTAGGGAACTATCACCACTGGAGAAGGCCTCCTTACAGAACCAGAAGCTAAGGGCCACATACGAGGCCCGGATGG